ATAAACGGGTTTATAGATAAGCAGTTTGCCATTGGTTAGAACGTGGTTTGGAATACCCTTCACCCAAGTACAGAGCATGGGTTCAAAGCTAAAGAGTATGCAATGTTGTAGCTTATAATCTATAACTCTTTTGATCTTTGGGTGAAGTGTACAACTGAATTGAAGCTTGAACAAATAACAAGTTGCATAACGTTTATAAGACTATGCGACAGAATTTAAGTTTTTGTTACTGCGTTTGATGAAACCGATATTTTGTATAGATTTTGGGACCCAATAACGAAATGAATTGTTTTGGTAAAAATATGCCAAGATATATTTAACATTTTCAACTTTATTTAAAAAAAAACCTTGCCTGCGAAAAAGTTATAACATCCATTTCGTTATTAGGGGCCCAATTCTATATAAATATCTGAATTATCAACACGATTTTAAGCTGTTGCATAGTGTGATTAGTTATAGTTTGTAAAAGGCATGCGGAATTAGTAAAATGGGTAAACTGTTTTGAAATGGCTTTTGTCGATTCTTATCATAAAAGGTATTTGAAAACTTGATTGATAACAGGGCAATAGGTTGATGATGACCATACTCAATTACTTAAGAACATAAACCCAAGAGATATCAGCTCCGATTACTTTCGATTTCAATTATTATAATGAAATAATGTTCATTAGATTACAAAATAATGGTAATAGATAAAATGTAGGCGAAAGTAAATAAAAAGGAACGCATAATTAAGTAATTGGAATAATCTACAAACCGATTGGCCGAGTTCATGCCATCCTTCATCATGCCGCTGATTTTGCGCTCACCCGTGCGTGTGTAGTCACCCTGGAATACGATAGATATGGGCATTAATTATTTGTAGGGTAGAATCGAAACCAATTTCTAACTTTTAACGCGTTGGTGCCGGCATACTGTCTGCTTATAATGTCACCATTGTTCGCCCATAGTGCCATAAATGGTGACTTCAGCTGCTCCGGTATTGGGGAATAGGGTGGCGAAAGTCCCAGCTTAACCAGCTGCGATTCCAGCACAGCTTTTCCAATGGCCGTTTGTACCACATTCGTGCGATCCAGACAGTCCATGCAATTAACTCGAAAAACTGACTTTTGATTGCAAATCATGCCGCGCTGATCCCTCCAGTGAAAGCCCATTGCACCTGCCTCTGGGCCAACAGCGTCAATCAATGCTGACACATTTTCGAAGCGCATGCCGCGACTAGTAGGTAATACAGATATAAAAGTTAATACATGAATATTAAGTTATAACAATGGCCGCTCACCAATAATCGTGAAAGTCAAATGTGACATAGATAATGTGTTCGTTGCTGTATTTTATCACATGCTCTGCATAGGTATCGCCAATAAGCTTTTCCTTGCCACTCTGCTCCACCAGATTAACAATGCACACGCGCTCATAGATGGACAGCTCTTTGGTAAAGTGCAGCTCAAATGCCTGCTGCGTTTCGGCTGCGCCGCGATCCAGACGTGGTGGCGGGCGATACTTGTACCCGGGCTGACTCCAGTAAATGGGCACCGAGCCACGCACCTGCGTAAACGCCAAGTGATGATGACGGAATGAGAGTATTTGTTCCGTTTCCACATAGTTGGCACAATTGCCCTTTTCATCCACACCGCGACGCTTATAGCTGCACATAAAGGCTTGCAATTAAACGAATGTCATTCGGAAAGTATCCTTAAGCTTACCGCGTGCCCGCACGATGACGTGAACGTCGCGAGACCAAAGATAATGTAAAGCAGTCATTGCCTATGACGCTTGCTTCAACCTGCACAAAACCTTGAATGATGGGCAGTATCCATGTTTTATCCTGCAATGCATAATGTATTAGAATATTTATATTTTCTCCTTATCCATCGTATACGCACATTCATTTTGATTATATCTCTAATCATGTGCATATTCCAGAAGAACCGCTCATCTGGCTGTGGCTGCCCATCATCCGCCCTAACCTCGTGCCTCTGCAGATTGTTAGTTATGTCGCAATCGAAACTAAAGTAAAAACTATCCGTTTCATCAAATATCTTGTGCAGCTCCTCAGTAATGCGTCGTTCGATTTGCCTGGGCTCTCGTATCCCCACCGAGTTCTTGACCTGCTTGGTCGCTAAATTGGCTGCCTGCTGGGTGGTAGCCTTGATTGTGTTCCCCGCGCTCTTGACCACACCCCACGTTTTATTCATGCCTTCGAAGAGCTTAGTGCTCTTCGTGCCTGGCGCTTGGGCAGCTCTGCTGCTCCCATTGTTGTTTTTGTTGCTGCTTGAGGAGACGCTATGCGTGGGCGTGGAGTTGTTGCTTCTGTAAAAGAACACGTAGATCACATTCATAACTTGGAATTTTCTTAAAATCTGTTAAACTTACTTCGTGTGCTTGGTGCAGTTAGACAGCTCAGAATCCGGCTCATCGGCACTGAGTATGCATATGGACTTGATCTTGTACACCAAATGGGGCGGATAGAGCACACCAACGGCCGTCGCCTCTTTTATGACCACCAAGTGCGGCTCATAAACATTGGGCAGCGAGATGACGCCCACAATACCATGCGTAACACCAATACATTCGATGTCTTCGACGGAGCTGAGATCCCATCCTGGAAAAAAACAGTTGGTATAAGCATATGAAAGTAATAATATATTTATATTGCTGATGTTCTGCTGCCCGTTTAATGGGTGAACGTAATTGCCAGTAGCTGTCATCATGTAGCAATTAGAGCTTTTACTTTTATTGCCGCCTAATGACAATGTGCGTCTAATTGATGTTTGCTTTCCTTCATTTACATTTGATTACCAATGCGCTTAACGCCCTACTAATAAAATAGCGCAAACGCCTTCCTTTCAATATAGTCAAACCGATCGACTCGCCTTTAAATAAATGTAAACAATATTTCGCTGCAGTTATAAGCTAAAATGCGCAGCTGATAAACTTATGATTGAAATAAAAACAAAACGACTTCGTTATTTAAAAAAAAAAAACAATACATTTAGCTCTTGATGAATAACCACGTTCTATACATATATGTTTGCGTAAATGTGTGGGGGTGGCTTGATTTAAGCTACTAATGGAATAAGTGCTATATTATGCTGCCAATGAACTCAACCAACAATTAATGCGCACTTTCACCCTACCTTGAGCTAAAAATAGAAATAACAAAAGTATAGAATTGCACGGCCGTTTTTAAAGCATCCTTGAGCTAAGTGCCTCACGGCTGTGGCTGGTTGTGGGGTTGCACATTATAAAGCGAAATTAATAGTAGCATGACATACATTATATTTATAAATATATTATATAAATATATTAGTTCAAGGCAACGCAATTTCCTGTTAATCTTATCTTATTTGCTAGTTTATCTGAGTTATCAGTACAACAAACTTCAACGTGCCAGAAAAACTAACAACCAAAGCCTATAATATCGCATCTGCAAGTAGTTTCTAAAAAATTCTTCTTATTTATGTAATGAAAGTAAGAGATTGACGAGAGAGATTCACACGTACAAAAAATAAACAATAAACAGAGATGAAGTTCGCTAAAACGTCAAATTATCGATGCTGATCAAGAGATTATACAACTTATAAGGCAGGACATATTATAAGTATATCCAAAAGATTTGTATACTTTTCAAAAATTATGGTTTAAGGCAAAACAAACAGGCCAAATACCAAAAAAAAAACTAATATTCAGCGGCTACCGAAAGTTGACATGAAAAGCAGCTGCTGTAACCTTGAACGAGATTTATTTATGAGAAAACAAACTAGGCGATTGAACAAAGACAAAAGTCACGGTCAGGGTCAGCTGATGAGTCACGTCAAGGGCCATGGCATGGGGGAACTCCACCAGAAAAACACTGAATCCAATCCTAAATGGAAACTCAATGGTCGGCCAGTTGCGTGTTAGTAAAGGTAACAGGTGTAAAGCCTATGCAATTAACAGAATGACGGGCCTAAGCCAATTAAAAGGACATGCATACAAATTGATAGCTCAGCTCGTTTTTTTTTACGACTTCCTTATAAATTATGTCAACACGGCTGCTCAGTAAAAGTTATTTCTAACTTTTTATATGTTCTGCGTAAAACTATGTTTACTAAAGCGATGTGTCGAAGCAATAAAAAACGAAAAGATTGTAACTAAACAAAATTGACCTGTTTGCAGACGAGGTACATCTGTCCGTCATGGGAGTTTCTACTGTACTCTGTATTTATGTATATATGTATACAGCTAACACATACATAGGCATACACCGTAGAGCCAGGCAAAAACGCCCAGAACAAAGCGGATGAAACAAAGGAAACTGCCATAAAGTGGGCGGCTATAGCTGAAATCCAAGCCATATCACTTGTAGCCTTGACATTCAGCTTAAAACTAGAGCAGCATATATATTTATAAACATTTAAGTGCGTCGGGCTCAGACTGCAAGGCGTCCGTTTTTGTTTTGAAGCGCTTAAACGTGAAGTCAATGCTGACAAGGCAAGATGTGGCAGGGCAACAACAACGCGCGATTCAGATTACTTACAAAAAACGGCTGCTGGGCTGCACCAACACAATGATTCATCCGCGTATTTACCTGGCTTTATTGTAAATTCCGATGTCTTGCGATTCCACCAGAGACTCTTGTCCCGCTTCACGAATATGTAATGTGTATCGGTTTGGAACACCTCCATGATGTTGCGTCGTTTCACTAGATTATTTGTGACATTTTACACGTAAATTTAATTTTTAAGTAATTTTTGTACAATTAATTTTGCTCCATGGTTATTACGCCTCCTCAACTGTTTTGGACATGCAATCGAATGAGAGTCCACTAAAGCTGCAGTTATCGATAGAACTGGCATCATTAATCGGGCCACACACGTAATGAGCAGTCGTACAACAAGCAGACTGGGCAATAGTAGTATGACAAGTAAAATATTTTGTATGGACTGCAGAGCAGGGTTTTTTCTATTATTTGTCTTTTTGTTGTTTATGACAATAAAAAGATTTTGTTTGGAATAAACAGAAATATTTCTGTCGCTAAACACGTCCAACATTTGCATACTACTTGCTTGTACAGCGGTTATCGATAGGTTGTAAACAAACGCGGTTGCGTGACAGAGCAGGCAGCTCTCCGTATGTGTCAAACAGCTGAGCAGCCAAGTGTCAAATGGAAGCACAAATTAAATAACGATTACTACATTTTGATATATAATCACATAAATTAATGGCGCTGCGCAGCATCAACAAACTGGAAGTGTTTTTGAAGCGATATAGTGCGCCCACGCTGTACTACTGCAGCAACAAATCCGCGCATGGTGCAACCAATGGCATAGGAACCGATGACAGTAACAATAACTACAATAATAATAACAAAAACAAAAATGGATATACCGGCTTTAGTTGGCGCAGCGTCATTCGGTTCTTTGTGCCTTTCTCGCTTGGCGCACTGGCCAGCACAATGGTGGCTCAGCGGGAGGAGTTGACACCGACGATTTCGGCGCGCGCGCTGAGCGGACGCCGGCGTGAGTTCAATTTCATTGCAGATGTGGTCGCCGGCTGCGCAGACTCTGTGGTCTACATAGAGATTAAGGATACGAGGCACTTTGACTATTTCAGTGGCCAGCCCATAACGGCATCGAACGGCTCTGGCTTTGTGATTGAGCAGAACGGTCTTATTTTGACCAATGCTCACGTGGTTATCAACAAGCCAAACACAATGGTACAGGTGCGTCTGTCCGATGGTCGCACCTTTCCAGCCACCATTGAGGATGTGGACCAAACATCCGATCTTGCCACACTACGTATTCAAGTGAGCAACCTGTCCGTGATGAAGCTGGGCAAAAGCAGCACACTGCGATCTGGCGAATGGGTTGTCGCCCTAGGCAGCCCGCTGGCCCTGAGCAACACGGTGACGGCGGGTGTCATCAGCTCCACCCAGCGGGCCTCACAGGAGCTGGGGCTGCGCAACCGCGACATCAATTACCTGCAAACAGACGCTGCCATAACCTTTGGCAACTCTGGTGGGCCGCTGGTGAATCTGGACGGCGAGGCCATTGGTGTCAACTCCATGAAGGTCACAGCCGGCATTAGCTTTGCCATACCCATCGACTATGTGAAAGTATTTCTGGAGCGTGCTGCAGCGCGACGCAGGAAGGGTTCCGCCTACAAGACAGGCTATCCAGTTAAACGGTATATGGGCATCACAATGCTTACCCTCACCCCCGATATACTCTTCGAGCTGAAGTCACGGACGCAAAATATGCCCAACACTCTGTCGCACGGTGTGCTAGTGTGGAAGGTTATTGTGGGCTCACCGGCGCATAGGTAGGCGGCATTATATATATATGTCCATGAATTGCCGTTTGTAATATGTTCATTCTCTCTTTCTAGTGGCGGTCTACAGCCGGGTGACATTGTAACGCACATTAACAAGAAGGAAATCAAAAACTCCTCCGATGTTTACGATGCGCTGGCAGACGGCAAAAAGGAATTGGATATTGTCATTTTGCGTGGCGTTAAGCAAATGCGAGTGACTATTACGCCGGAAGATCCCTGATCCAGTTTTATCATTGACCACTGCTATACACGCTCTCGATTTTGGTATAATGCTTTTGCATAAATTTGTATAATGTTTTGTGTTTGCAATATAAAGAGGAGCTGCCACTATAACGCATATGCAGTCCGCTAATTAGGTGGCTGCCACATAGCATACCAGTAATTGTCATGCTGCGCCCGAAATTCAATACAAATTATAGCACATCAAATTTTGGTGTTTACAGTTGAGGTAAAATAAAATATGTGTAATTCGTATTACAAACAGCAACGTGAAAAAGTAAACAGACAATTCCTGCAATTAATCTGGTCGCAGCAAGTTTAATGCAAATGCAAAAAGTCGCATTAAAGTAAGCATTTGTTACCCATAATTGAACTGAGCTCCGCTAACGAAGTTGTCCATAGGAAATTTGCATAGATCGTCGAGCTGGCGGTTATCGTTGGCCATTTGAAATAACGACAAAATCGTAACTTCATTTACGCATCTGTTGCTGTTTAAAAGCGTCTGTAAAGATTTTCGATTTCTCTTTCGCGGCTGCTCGTCTGCCAATCTGACTGCCGTCTGCCTCTCTGACTGTCTGTCTGCGTGCCTGTCTGTTTGTCCGTCCGGTCGAACAACGACAAAAATGTATTTACGCTAATTGAAATACCTTGCGTTGCGATCAATCGATGCCATATTTTTTGTAGGCCAAAACTTGGGACAGCAGCAACAACAAAAGCGTCAGCTCCGAAAAACCGAAATGCAAATTTCAATAAATTTATGCAACTGTGTTCGCAGCGCTTTGCCTGTTTGTGGGTGACAAGGCAGACGATGACGATGATGATGATGTTCATGATGATGATGATGTAGCTGCCGATGCGGCTGTTGCTGTTGTTGTTGTTGTTGTTTTCTGACGTTGCGTGAAAAGTGAAATTCTTGTGATTATTAATTTTATTTTCGCTTTTGGCAATGTGCCTGCCTGCTACGCTTTTTTAGTTTTTGCACATAAATTCACTTATTGAATTCACTTTTCTCCCCAGTGTGTGTGCGTGTGTGCGTGCGTTAGTGTTGTTGTGATGTGTTGTTTATGTGGCAGCGGCCTTTATGACATTGTTGGCACTAAGTTACCTTTATTGCATATAAGCCGCACGCATAAATGCAGCTTTATGTTCATAAATTTGCCAATACTCGACGGGGTTAAGCAAACAGACCTCTTTGTCCGCATGGCGCTTGCACTTTCTTCCCTGGCCAGACTGTTGTTACTCTGCACGTTTCACATTTCTCTCTCCCTAGTCTGCCGCTCACCTATACTACAACTAATTGAAATATATCAAAAGTCCACAAAACTATCGCGTTCAAACTTTGCAATTAACTTGTGGTCGACACAATCGAATTTGTTATTGTTATTGTTGTTGTTGGCGAGTTTAAATTACAAACCCGTGAGAAATATTTTTGCTACTTTATTTTGCTGATGTCTATGGACTATATAATCAAGATTGTACATAAATGTTTCTTAGGTTGAATACTTTTGTAAAATACTTAGTTATTAAAACTCTGCGTTCAATGATTAAAATCACAAAAGTTGGACATTGTATTATATTTAATGCATAACAATTGCTTAATTTCACATATATCATCTTTTATTTTAATATATTCATCTAACACAAATTTTTTTTATATTCTTTTTTCACATTCGGTTGACTTTTCTTTAAAACAAACATGGAGGAATCCATATATCACAGGTCGTGGCTCTTATATTTAAAGAGCATCTATGTTTTGGCTATCAGAAATCTCCTATTTGTTATAATATAGATTAGTTTATTGTATTTTTAATTTAGATCATACTAATGTGTGTGCTACGGTTGGCTGTGCGTCTGCCGTATGCCGCCTGCCGTCGTGTATTTTGTGGCTGATCAAGTTCGCACGCCTTGTCTACAGCAACAATACTTACATATTATATGTTTATTAATGTTTATGGGTATGAGTTTACACTGGTTTACACTTACATAAATGGCAATAATTATAAATTGTTAGCTAGGTACGCATTTGGCGCAGCTTCCATCGATGGCTGTTCATTTTTGTTGCATATTATATTGATGAGGGTCAGTTTGGCCTATCCATCGCTATCTCTGGTGCTTTTGATTGAGTTATTAAACGTGCTGTTAATTGCAACACCTGACAATCATGTTGTAGCCGTGTGATGCTTTGTCGCGTTAACCCAAAACTGTCGGACATAAGATTTTGCACGTGTAATTATGTTTTAGGTCTGCCATTTGATGCTTGACGCGACCTCAGCACGTCTGCGAGCTTTGGCACCTATGAATGTGCGCCAAAACAACATGAACAGCAACACCAGAAACAGCAACAACTACAACTACATTAACAATAACAACGACTTTCTCGAATGTTGTTCCCATGAACTGCTCACATTTAAAGGTATCGGCAGGCGCAATGAAAACTGCATAAACAACAACAACAACAACAACATCAACAACAGCAGCTATTGCAATTGCAATAGCAACAGAAAAAAAAACATGCTTAACATTAAAGTTCATGACACACAACTGTAAAATATTTCAGTGCCTGCAACTTTTACCATCGATAACAAATGGCTGCGACTTAGCGCCCCCAAAAGTTCAAGTCCCGCATATGAAAAGTTCTCCTCAACGTCGGTCATGGACAGGAAGTCATCGATGCCAACGCCGACGCTGACTTCGACTTCAACTTCAATTTCAGCTTTAACTTCGACGTTAACATCTTAGACAAAAAGCAAAGCCAAGAGCAAGCTGGGCCGCACGGCCGATGGCCAATGCCGCGGGCCATAAATCATTTAAATATGCCAAAACTTACATAATAATTCTGGCAAAGCGATCATGCGAACGGGCTCGCACGATGATGATAACTGACAACTGGGCGTCGGGGGAGCAGAGCCCCAACTGGCAGCATAGTTGAAGTTAAAGCTAAGTATGTGTATGTGTGCACATATAGAAGAAACTGTGTCTTGGCATCGATCCCGTCATTGGCCAGCATTAATCAAGAAATCGAGAAACACTTTTGCAGGCAAAACGAGTTGGCTAATGAAGTCATCGTCAGTGGAACTGTCCAAATTGAAATGTATTTAAATGTGCCATTTTATGCGGTGTGCCAAATTGTATTCACTTGGTAATGGACTCCGATGCGGACTTCACTAAATTAACAAATGCATTAAATTAAATATCATGGAAAATCATGAAAAATTATGATGATTACGCGGAAATGTGTGGCAACCGCTGGCCACTGGGCTGAAAATGTGAATTTATGAAATTGCTCAAGCTTTAAAATTACTGAATTATTGCAACCAATGTCGGTTGCTGGTGCCGGTTCGCCGCAGGGCGCTGCACAGTTTTCATTTACATTTTGCACTTGGTAAAATAGCATTTATAAAATGTCCAACAACGTTGGCGAGGCCAGCTTAGTGGGTCAGTTTACTCATCTGGCTGGGCATTATGGGGTCTGGGGTCTCTGTCCCGGTACTGGCTCCGTTTAGCTGTCGTGCTCTCTGGCCGTGTAGAGTTAGTCAAATATTTACGCTGGCGCAAAAAGTCATCATCATTAATAATTATGAAAATTTCACCTGCTGGAAAAGCGAAGCTTCTACAGTTGTTTTCTTTATTTAGGTAAATTCATCAATTATGCTCAAGTGTGGCCACAAGTTCGTTGCCTAAATCGTTTGTTTTGGAGCAATGACGGCGCCAATGATCGTTTTGATTGGGACTATAAGCTAAGCCAGCTTCTAAACTTTATTTAGCCAGATTGTAAATGCTAGCTACTACGAGTATTATCTGTCAAATGTCAAGTGTTTCCCCTCGCGCTTGTCGCTTGATTGATTTGTCAGCGTTGCGTTTGTGACTAGCGCACAAGACAAGCATCTCACGATTTATGTTCGGATTCAATGTTCAAATGTCTTTTGACCATTTTAGACAAATTATGCAAAGCTTGCACAGGTCGTTCATACATTCGAAATCGATTGAATGATTCAATGACGTCATCGTAATGGCGCATCAAATTTGACCCAAACACAATAGAGCCTAACGCAGCCAGGGCTCGCACAGTTATCGCTAAAGTTGGCGTCTAAGCGTAGAAATCAGGCCACCTGAATCACTTAATTGTTGCGATTTTTCACAAAATTGAAACATCTTCCGGCATGGAGAGTCGTCGAGCTGCAGGTTGAGACAGTGCTGCCGCAGCCCGCACTGAGAGCAAGACATACGACGTGTGCGCCGAAATTAGTTTTTCGCATGTTGCCTGGCCCGAGGCGTGAAAAGATTTTCGCATGCAAGGTGCGGCATAAAGGCGGCAACGCCAGCAACAACAACAACAACAACAACAACAACAACAACAATAACAACGACAACAGCAGCAGCTGCCGATAGCAGCGCAGCAAGTGTTGCTCTAATTTATAAAATGCTTTTTGCTACCAAGTTGGCAGCAAAAAAAAGTTGAAAGACAAAAACAACTTAAAGTTCCATTATATATTTGTGATTGACTAATTTATACTCTACTAGTGTAAATGTGTGGAAGTTAAAATAACATTTTTAATTATTTTTATTTTATGGATATATTTAATGTTGCAATAACAGTTGTTTCTGTTCATGAAGCAGCCTTAGATTTTATTATTATTATTTTATTTTTTACAACAAATAAATTAAAGATAGATTTAACGAAGTAATTAAATCTTTAACGAGCTTTTTTCAGCTCATAAGCAAATTGATTACGTGTTTAGTTATTTTGTATTGATAGATATATAAAAAATATTTTATTTTTCAGTTAAATTTATGCAAGTGTTTTAGTGTACCCAATACTCGTATAGCTGTAACTACCTTAGTCGTTTATTTTGATAGCTGTAGTGTATTTGATACAAATTAATTGCTTTGCGGTTCTCACACACAAGAGTACGGCAAAAATTTCACTTCTTTTCAAATTCCGCTGCGCGCTGGGGCGATGCTCGACGCCTGAGGCATTTCTTTCACACTTTTTCCCACTGTTTCAATCGCCTCAGTTGCTGATCTTGTTGCTATTGCTGCTGCTGTTAATGTTGTTGTTGTTTGTGCCTTTGTTTATAACGCATGAAGCGCTGGTTGATGTCGCCCACCCCTCATAAATGCCGTCACATGTTTTAATTAAATGCCAGGCAGCGAAATAGGCACAAAGCTCTAAAAGTTTTTTTTTATAAGCAACATTAATTGAAATTACAACACACGCGGCATCCCGACTTGGACGGCTGCGTGCCTGACTGTCTGGCTGCT